TAGTTGGAAGGGTTAAGTAGTAGACTTAGCTGTGTTTGGCTGTTTTAATTGGATCCTAGCAGATCTTTCCAAAGAAAAAGTGGTTTCTTTTTTAACCAAAGAGATGGATTGCAGTGGAAAATTTTCATTTAACTATGTTTGAATTAATCTTGACAGGAATAGAAAAGGAAATAGCATAGAAAATAACTATGCTAAAGAGACTTGAAATTATAGTTGTTAATTTCAGTTTGATATCTATGTTTTAGTTATATTAAAATATGATACATTTAAAGATAATTTTTTGTATCAAATTTAGTAGCAAATAACATAGATTGTTTTTCGTTTATTTTGATAAATTTCGATGAATTAACTTGTTTTTATTTGTACGTGAATGTAAAATATATTATATAATTTTTAATTTATCTTTTATTGTTTGACTACTTTTAACTTAATAAAAACAAAAGTAATTGATAAAATAAATTTTAAAAGTTGAGTTTCTTTATTTTTTTTTATTATAACTTGATTTTTTTATAATTTATTATTTCAAACAAAAATTCATAAAGTATTTTAATCTTTTTTAAAAAGTAATTATACTGAAATTTTTAAATTTAACAATCATGAAATCAAAGTTAATTTTTTTCATCTATTTGTTTTTATTTTAATATTTGTATGAAAAATATTTATTTAATGATCAGATTAAATATTTAAAAATATTATTAAAAATGTATGATATTATTTTTTATATTTTAAAACTTATTTATTTATTTTTTGAAGATATTGTATTTTTATTTTATAAATTATTAATAGTATTATAACAAATAAATTCATATATATTTATAAATATATTTGTATTAAATCAAAAAATCTGAAATAATATGCCATAACAATTAATACCGGCATATATCACATTTTTAAAGAAAACCGAAACTTGTTCAATACAATATTAACAACCTTACTTGAAATCTTTTACTTTTGAACAAAATCTTATATATTTTTTAGAGTTCAATGTATTATCAGTGTATAAATTATATACAATTAATAAATCAAATAATATTACTTTATTTATGAAAATATTTTTTTAAATTATGTTTTATGTATTTATTTAAAAATTTATATTTATTAATTAATGAGACGATAACATCTAATTAATTTACTATATACAAAATTGACACATTAACAATATATTAAATCTAAATTTTATTTTTTTATTCTTATCCTTTACCATTTGAATAGAGTACATCTTTTGGTTGGAAAGTCTAGTTCTTTTTTTTTTAGTCATTTCAACTAATCTTAGAAATTGCATTATCAATTTCGAAACTTTTACGTTAAAAGTTTTGAATCTTACTTTTGAAATTGTATCAAATTATTTTTTATTTTAATTTGTTAAAAAATTAAATCATAATAATTACATTGTTTTTTTATTGATTATTATAAATTATATATCTAACAAATAAACAAATCTAAGTGTCCAACTCTACAAAAACGTTCAAATGAATGAAAACAAGAGATGGGAAATGAGACATTCTAGAATTAGAAATGTTGTAGAGAATAGAGATAGTAATGAAACAGATATTCATTACTTTTAAGATATCCGTATTTGAATTAATTTTAATTTAATATTATTATATAAATTCAAATTTCTTTAAATAAGTATTATTTATTTAAATATTTAAATTCATTAAAATATTTATTTATTTAAATTTATTATAAAAAAATAAATAAAAGTTAATTTAAAATTCAAAATCACTATTAATTAATAATAAATAAAAATTATTTGTTAAGTTTCAAAACATTCCACAAATATAAATTTTATATATCTAAATGAATACCGAATTTAGATACAAATTTATATATTCGTTATTATTCATTAAAATTTAAATAAATTTAGATATTAAACATTTAAAAAATATTATTCATATTTTATTGGAATTTATCACTAATAATAAATTATTTATTTATAATTATTCAAATATAACATAAATAAATCAAATAACGATGAATATCCATAAAAAAAAAATTTTGAGAAACCGAAACTAAATTTGGGTAAACGAAGTTGTAAGTACAAAAATAGAATGACTCGAGAAAAGCAAACCGATGAATACATTGGTTGATAAAATTCGGATCTGATTGCATTGTCAGGTCTTTTTATAATTGATTCTCTGCATTAGAAACCGTGGGCAAGGGGACAGCGATGCGTCGGTGCTGCTTTCAGACAAGCGCGTCGGACCAAAAAAAAGTGTAGTTTTCATCGGATACCTTAGATTCTGTTGGACTAAGTTTAAGTTACAGCTGTTTCTAATCTATGTCTAATCCATACGATACAACACAAATTTGCTAAACTTAAAATTCTCATCTCCCTTTCATTAAGGTTTCATTTTTCCACAGCTATCCTACACTGTTCTTGATTTGCTTTTATCTTGTGCTTTCCAGCTACACTTTTCAGTCATTGCAAAAACAAATCCACCTTTGCACCTCCATTGCTTCTCTCTTGGAAGCTTCATTTCCTCTTTCGAAAATTAAGGCCAGGTGGATTTTATTTCCATATGTATATATATATAATTCAAACAAAAAAATCTTTTGATATTCAAAAAATACATAAATAAATTATCGATTGATTTTATATTAGATGTTCGTAAAATTTAATAAACAAAAAAAAATTCATATTTAGTATATGATAACTCATATATAGTGACACATGTTTATTTAAATATAGAGAAACAAAGTTTTTTTTTTTGTATTTGAAGTTTGGCTTTCGTTTATGTTTAATATTTACGTAATTAAATGTATCTATCTATTTCATGAAGTATGAAACCAAAATTTAAAACTCATAGTATAAGAGTTGGTAAAAGAGTTAAAAATCAACACATTGCTTTCAATTAGACTAACAAATTATTTAAGCGATCAAACATAGATTTAGAGTGAGGGTAGCTGTCCCTACCAAAATCTTGAAACTTGAAAATTTTTATTAGTAAGAGACCTCAAACATAAATTATTTTTATATTAACAAGTAAGATTATTAGAAAATAAACTCAATTGTTAATTTTTTGTCTTTTCCCTCCCACTAAATGTAAAAAAATAATAATAATAAGTATGAATCTTTTATAATATTGAAATATATATGAATGTGTTAACAAAATAAAATAAGTAATTGAATAAGTTAATGATTCGAAATATAAATATAAAATTATCTCTTTATTATATTTATTGATCTTGTTATAATGATTTTTTAATGAGTTATAAAACATGTTATATCATGTCGTGTTTAATCTAACTTGATTAATAAGCTTATTAATAATGTGATATTATATCTATTTAATAAATATATTTGTGTATATGTTTAAATTTTTAATTTGTTTATTTAATTGTCATATTTATGTTTACCTATATAAGTGTTAATATTTTTTTCTTAATGCGACATAATTAAGATAAACAAATTTGATTTTTTAGATTTAATTTGTATATAGAAATAATATTTTTTTAATATTTTATAAAATTTTAAAAATATTTGATATTATATTTTAATGAAAATCATTTTAAGTTACAATAGTTTGTAAATAAATATTACCTAATAATTTGCTTTCATTGACCATAAATCCAGGATTTGTCCCTGTAAGCGACCATGTTTTATTACCTCTATTTTAAAACAAAAAGTACATTTCATAAAATATATATATAAATAAAATTACTCTATTATTTTCAAAAAATTAGAAAAAAAATTGGAACATAAAGATTTTAACTTCTGTACATAAGTAATTGTTAAGAATATTTTTCAATTTGTATTACTTTTATTTAAACTTTTCATTATAATATTTTTTAAAAAATAAAATGCCACAACAAATCTTTAACATACAAGATTATTAAATCATAAAAAATAGTGAAAAAGTTAAATATTATCTAATTACTAAAGTTGATAATTTTAAATCCGTTATACAATATTAAAATGATATAAAAAATATAAAAAACACATAATTTAAAATTTTAATAAAAATTTTATATAAATTTGATAAAAATAAAATATATATTTTATTTTATATTTACATATATTATATTATAATTATTTTTATATTTTATATATGTTGGATGTAATATACCACACACATTATAATTACCAAAAAAGTTTACTAATGAAAAAAAAAATGTTTGTAAAGCATGATGTCTAAAGATTGGTGTAGAAAGGTGACGGTACGGCTTTAACGTACACAGAAGCTCAAGCGTGCATGAAAATTCGAAAGGACAGTTGGCATCGTCACGGGAACGAAACTATGTTTTTTTTTTTTTTGACTCTAGTGCCACCAATCTCAACCGACTTCAATCCACGTAGAAAATACTGTCCAATAGTAAGTGAGAAACTTGAATCTCGTAATCCACCGTGAGATTAAACGCGTGAAACTAATATTTTCTCGTTCAAAGCTAAAATAAAAATACAAGTTTTTGCGCCGATTGTACTTTTGAGTACAACAAGCAGAGCAGCAGGTGACGACAGCTTGGCGGAGATTTGACCAAGCAATTCTGCCTTTTTTTCACAACACTATTATACGATCCAACCAGCTGTAAGATGCCGTTAGTTCAACACTATTTTAGAATCGGGTTTAATCGGTGATCCATCATTGAAATCATTTTAAACGTGTGATTTTTATTTATTTATTTTTAAATTATTAAATATGATATATTTTATTTTTATTTAAAAAGTAAAAAATTTATTTATCTTAAAATAAAAGGGAAAACCTAAAGAATTTAGCATTTTAATACCATATTTCTTGGTTATTGTGTTTTACGAAGAATGAACTTTTGTGCCAATCAAAGAATGATCGATTTTTTTTGGTATCACTAATCAAAGGATGATAGTAAAAGGATTCATTGGATACTTTTCCTTGAAAAAAATTAAGGGAAAAAACAACTAGGAAAGGAAAAGAGAAGTTTCCTTCAGTTTGTAGTTAAAACGAAGAAATTAATACGTGGTTGGATGTTGTCTCATTCTTAGTTATCACACAATGCGTTTCTGTTTCCAACATTTCCCTCCCATTTCTTCTATAAATAACTCTTGCAAGAATAGCACAAGAGATTCAGACATTGTTTTATTTTATTATTATTATTTTTTGGAGATTTTAAGAAAACAAAAATCTCTCAACAGGAAAAGGTGGAGGCCACCCTTTTTCAATCGCTAACGTCCCCACGTTCTTCGCTCTCTCTCACGTTTGGTCCCTAACCCAAAGCTCCCATTTTTGTGCCACTCTTTTTGGTTTCCTTTCTTTCCTTCTTCTTCTTCTACTCTTTCCTTCAATTCATTTCTTGTCTCTATTCCTCTGATTTTGCGGTACAGTTTTCTCTGCCTACCCTTTTGGTTTTCTTTTTTTTTTTTAATGTTATTCTAAGCATTTTTTATTTGATATGTAATTAATATAGGCATGAAAGGTGACATTTTTTTTCAATCTGGGTTTTTGTTATTTTGTTGTTTCATTGATTTATCAATGTTACATCCCACATTTTTTGTGTTGGTTTTTCTCTTTTTGCCTTCTGGTTCTTCGTGATTTTTTCTTGTTTCATTGATTTTCAATGTCACAACCACATTTTTATCTTATTTTCTGGGGAGTTTTTTTATGAACAATGTAAATATTCTTTTTTTTTTTTATTGTTTCATTTCTATGCTTTCCATTCTTTTTTTTTTTTTTTTTTGCTAATTACCATTTCATTCTGAAGAGCAATGAAACATTAAAATCCAGGTGGAGAATAGGGATGAAACATTCAAAGCTAGTCGGCTATATTTTGATACATGGTTTCCTAGAGCTTGAGTGTATTTCATTTACTATTTTTAAGAAAAATCTGTTCTGATTCAACTACTTGATGATTTTTTGTTTCATAATCTGCAACATCTACCAAGGCATTCTCTGCATGTATACTATTGACCTGGTTTTCTTTGAAAAACTTTAACCGGATAAATGAAAGGAAAATTTAAGAGTGAATGGATGAATGTGGAATGCTATAAAATATTAGAAGTTTCAAGATTCCAAAAGGAATCAACAGAATCCTTCACTAGTAGTAGCACTTTTTGTGGTTACCCCTAAAGCAAATAGCCAAATCCTGATGTTAATATAGAGTTTCTCAATATGGTATCTGATCATTTCTCTTCTTTTTTGTTTATATTATTAGGTATTGAGACCCCATATCTTGTTGGTTGAGATCTTTATCTGTGAAGATATTTTGAAAAAATGGGAGTAACATTTTCATGTCCTCTTAGTGATCTCGATGACCTGGAAAGACGTTTTGAAGCTGTCATTGTAAAATCAATCAGTTTCAAGGATGGGGATGAGAAGAAAGTGTTGCGATCTGTCAGTTTCAATGGCCGTGTTTCGGAGCCGAAAGGAATGGAACCATATGATACTAGGAAGAAAAAATCTTTAAGCTTTAACAAGCGGGAAACAGGGACCATACCCTCATACAGGACTCCTAGCATGGATAAGGAAAATAAGGTGTCTGTTAGACCAGAGAGCTGTAAGAATGTGAATAACAATAACATATTGCAGAGATCAATCAACATGTCTGAGAAAAAGTCCCGTTCAGACTTTGCAAAGCTGGGAGGGCGACGATATCAGGCTGCATTAAAGTTGCAAAAGGTGTACAAGAGTTTCCGGACCAGGAGGCGGCTAGCAGATTGTGCAGTTATTGCTGAGCAGAGATGGTTTGTATCATTTTCTGCCTGTCAAGGATATATTGAATACCAGATGGACTGAAACCAATCCATCTTTGTAATTAAAACATGAAAATGGAGACAAATGAAATGGTTTCATGCTTCCTGGTGTCCAAACATCTATTTCTTCATATTTTAATTTTCATAATCCATTTTGTAGGTGGAAGCTGTTAGATTTTGTTGAACTCAAGCGAAGCTCTATATCATTCTTTGAAATAGAAAAACCAGAGACTGCCATTTCACGATGGTCTAGAGCGAGAACAAGAGCTGCCAAGGTAAGTTGTGAAGAAAGTGATGCAAGCTCTTAAATGAGTTTGGCTGCAATGCTGGTTGTGAATGTTGTCTTCTTTTGCAGGTTGGAAAAGGTTTATCTAAGGATGAAAAAGCTCGAAAGCTTGCTTTGCAGCACTGGCTTGAGGCGGTAATTACCATTCTAAGAATGAAACATTTGTACTAAGCTGCTAGTTTTCATTTATGGCTCTTCCTGATCATGTTTCCTGTTGCTAACAGATTGATCCTAGGCATCGTTATGGCCATAATCTCCAATTTTATTATGCCAAATGGCTTCACTGTGACAGTAAACAGCCCTTTTTCTATTGGTAAGATTTCATTGGAACAACAATATGTAAAGAAAGGAATTTTGCTTCTCAACAACTTATGAGACCAATCTATCAACTTTAAACATGCAGGCTTGATATCGGAGAAGGGAAAGAAGTCAATCTTGAAAAGTGCCCTCGAGCAAAGCTTCAACAGCAGTGCATCAAGTATCTTGGTCCTGTGAGTTTAATCTCCCATTGTAGTTTTTACGTGTGTTGTTTTGCAGAGCATGTCGCTTTGGTTATGCCCTTAGTTTGGATCTAATATTATAGAAACCTCAACCAGGAATTAAAAAAAAAATGTTGAGATAGAATATAAGCAATTAAAACATTCAAACTCATTTACAACTCAGTAAAAATTAAGCAAGTCATAAAACAAATTTCCAATTTAGTTTAAACCTATTTACCAATATATTATTGTGTATTCCCAGACCGAAAGGGAGAATTTTGAAGTAGTAGTAAGGAATGGGAAATTTTTCTACAAGCAGAGCGGGGAACTTCTTGATACCACTGGAGAACGAACAGATGCCAAGTGGATTTTTGTTCTTAGTGCATCTAAGACTTTGTATGTTGGACAGAAGAACAAGGGCAATTTTCAGCACTCTAGTTTTTTGGCTGGTGGAGCAACATTGTCTGCAGGAAGATTGGTTGTGGAAGACGGTGTTTTGAAGGTAGTCTAGAAAATGTTTTTGTCTTTAAAGATAGCTGGATCATCTTTTACTTTGTGTAGGACTTCTGATGTATTAAAATGATTCTTTCAACTTTTTAGGCGGTTTGGCCTCACAGTGGACACTACCTCCCAACAGAAGAGAATTTCCAGGAGTTCATGTCATTTCTCCGGGAACACTATGTTGACCTCACAAATGTAAAGGTAAAGAACACCAATTCATCAATTGTTATTTTAGCTTGAATCTACACTAAAACTAGAGAGCAAAGTTCTTGTGGGACTGGGGGAAAATGATTGGCATGTGCTAGTGCAGAGTTAAGTACATGGTTGTTTAGGGGGATGGGGGAAAAATCACTAAGGCACCCATGATACAGTTCTTTCTGATGGTTTTTACAGAAAAGCTCTTCTGAAGAGGAAGAACCCATCAGCAGAAAGAACAGTATCTTCCGAAGCAATGAACCAGAAGCAGAAGGATTGCAGCAGACAGAGGCAACAAACAGTGAAAACTCAGCTCAGGAGAACACCGGTTCAAGAAAGGAAGATTCTGATGCTGCCCAAAATGCCAACAAATCCATGTCAAGATTATCTCGAGGATTATTCTCAAAAATAAGTAGACTTCAAATACCTGCAAGACAGGATGTGTTTGACATCTTTAAGACAGAAACGTTGCCACCAAGTTGCCGCCGTGAACGTCCAGAATCCCCTGAAGAAGATGGTTATGAAACAGCAGAAGAATTTTTATCCGAGGAAGATTTTCTGTTCACTAAGGTCAATTTGTTTGGTGAAGATGATGATGAGGAAGACCATAAACCCATTCCCAAGGAAAAAATAATGAGAAGGATAGACTCCCATAAAGGATTGAAGTCATATCAACTAGCTCAACAATTATCCTCCAAGTGGTCTACAGGGGCTGGGCCACGGATAAGCTGCATGAGGGATTATCCTTCTGAACTTCAGTTCCGGGTTTTAGAGCAAGCAAACTTGACACCAAGAGCAAGAAGTGCCAGTGCATCTCCTCTGACAACATCACGTTTTAGCCCCATTGTCTTGACTCCAACTTCATTACGTAAGGAAACAAGTTCATCTAAAAGTCCGCTTGGACCCAAAGCAAGTGATAGAAAAGAAAAAAGCAAAAGCCTAGTCGATTTTTAGATGAAACTGTGATTCTGGCATGTTGTTGTTAGAGAATAAGATATAGGATTCTTTTCTGTTTTTTTGAGCCTTTCTTTTACACATTCTTTTCCTTTTTCATGCACTCATATGGTGAAAATGAAGAGATAAATTGAAAGTGCTATTAGGTTTGTCTGCCACTGAGTTTTGAAAACAGAAGCTCTCAAAAGGAGATTTGTTAATCATGCAAGAGATGAGATCGTTCTAAAGCATATCTGTAACATGATTTTAGTGAATACCGCTTTTCAAATCATGTTTGTAATGCAAATGTGACAAATACAATGACTTCAATGGATAATTTAAAGTAATTTTGGCATTGACTCATGGCTTCTCACTAACATGGATTATTTTCTTTCCACTACCAAATAGTAATGTTCAGTCTTCATATTAATGTCAATAGCATGAATGAAAATGACTTTAGACAAGGACTAAACTTCACTAAACCTGCACGTTAGAAAACTCAATATAGTTGCTCCAGCCCCAATTTCCACATTATCTACTTATCTAGGATCCATTTGGATGCGCACCGCACCATGGGTGTGAAAAAAACGATTGAACCTCAAGGGTCCAATCAATAAAACGGAACCCACGATGCAGTTGAAGTCCCTCCTACCATGCATCCAAAGGGGCTAGTCACCTGAGAAGCAAGTAGTGCTGATAAGCAATCATCTAGCTACTCTCTCTCTCTATATATATTGCTAAATAGCAGCTTAAGATATAGTTCCTACTTATTTTGAACAATGATATAAAAGTTATGCAGCTGCAGCCATCACATCTACACCATTATAGTTCTAAATGGATGCCTTACTCTCATAAGCATGTGTGCGGTGTGTAGAACACTTGAGGCCATGATAACTAACAATGTAAGAGGTTCTTGTGTTGAAGTACAACATTTTTATGTTAGAATAAGATCAAACTATTTTTCTTATTTCTTCGCATAACTTTGCGAAAAAACTGATGCAAAATAGTGTTGTTACAAGATGCATATAATGAATATTCAATAGTAAAATCATGTAGATATTTACATAACTCTCTCCCTCTATGGAAAACAACAGATTGAGAAACAAAATTATAAAGAGCAAAGATTAGTCTTCTAGATGAAGGGGAAAATGGCATACTCGGCATAAAACAGATTCCATATGAAGCGATAGAACCCAGAGATTGCTTCCTGCAAATTGCAATCAAACATAAAATCAGGTGTTGACCAAATTCTCATGCTCCCTGTTGGCATCCTGAAAAATCCTCACATATGTAGGATTTGTCGCAGTTTTGAGGTTACAATTAAATTAAATATAAAACATATGTTCACAAAGCCAACGATTTGTAGAATCTTATAACTATTAGCCATTTGGCTTTAGAGACGTTTAAACATCAGGCAGTTGTTAACAGTGAAAATATGAGAGTGCCGAGTGGTTGACATAGATCAATAGACTGTTTGCTGCTATAGGTTGACAAACATCTAATGCAGTCATGAATACACGACCATTTATTTCAGATTGTTATAAAAGAAATCCCTACAGACTGGTAATCTGCAGTTAAACAAGCTATCAAACATACAGGAATATGGAAGGACAGCTGTTGAATCTCTAAAGATTTAGAGATTCAGGATTTGCAAAAGGACGCACCGTATATTGCTTTCTTCATAATGTCTCACTGGTATATGGTAATATACATGGTAATCATCAGTCTATCTCTAGGATATGAAGCACCATAAAACTTTCCAACCACTCTGATCTTGCCTAAGGGTGCATTTGGCACCATGGTCAGTGCATTGGGGAGCACTCTCCGCTGCACTGCACTGTAGTGCCAAACCGCAACAAAATCTTTTACAGAACTAATCCCACTTGTGAAAGGCTTCTTACTGAAATGTATCTATTGCACTTAGGCAAACCTATTACGGTCTAATACAAGTATCTCCAAGTGGCAGGCCTTCCATAATAATAACTGGCGACATGTAGCCACTAGACTGTAGAGTGAGAATATGGCAGTACCAATTGGCAAATCAATATAAGTAGTAGTATTTTCAATATATATTTGAAACAAAATAGATGCATATAAGTATTTATTTAATCCATAAATTGGTTCAAATATGACCATTCTAAACACTTGAAAATCCATCACCAAACCAAAATTAAATGCATACTCCTTTTGACAGTTTTGCATGTTGAACAAAATGACTATGCCAAATTTTAATTTCTAAAATGTCATTTTGTACTAAGTGTTTAGTCATTTATTCAAATTAAATTGCTAAAGATGAGCATCAACACCATAACTCCACTAGGATTGTGAGTCTTGATAACCATCTGCTATGTGTTCATCCTTTCATTGTTACAAGTGAAAAATTCATGCGACTAGAGCATATAACAGGTAGAATATGCTAACATGTTAAGATCTACACCAAGTTAGGCATTACCTTGGTGTAATTTGCTTGTTCCAACACCCATGCCTGAACCAATATTAGAATAAAATTTTGTATCAGAGACCATAATTGAGAAAGAAACAACCATCAGTGGAATACTTAACTGATGTTATGAAGTTAAAATAATTACTCCAAGGATTATGTTTCTCACAAAGGAGCAATTGTTATTAAAACAAAGATTCTTTCAAGAATGTTCATTTCTGGAAGCAAATAATGAAGAACAAATCATATGATTCCCAGACATTATTGTATTCAGGAAGTCCTAAATGCAGGAAATGTACCTGGAAAATCAAGCACAATGCCAAGAAGATATGAGCAGGTATCATTAAACCACGCCTGAAAGCCTGTAACATATGCAAGTAAAGGATTTACAATTAGGATAATCTCCCTGGAAGATAAATGTAAAAAAATCCAAACAAATGCTCAACTAATTCCATGAGCTACACAAGTTAAGCACTGAAATCAGGCATCAATAGTAGAGAATGAGAAGACAGGCTTTAAGAACTAGTTTTCACCTGAGGTAAGTATATTGCAGCCAACACAGCAGCAATGTAATTCACCAGTAGAAGTCCGGAACCAAGAAATGCAATATTTCTAACTCCAAGCTTTGTCGCTAATGTTGATATTTGAAATCTGTAAATGATTGTACAAACAGATAGCAGATATTGATATAGAAAAATTTAGTGACAAAAACAGCAGGTTAGGTTTCACATTGAATAAAGAGGATAAACTTTCGAACAAGATGGAAATTGAGGCTCACCAAGGGAAGATTAGACAAATAGCTATAGTTTGAACAAACATACAAAAATTAATTAATATTTTACAACTCATGAAGGAAACTCAACTAGGAGCATATGGAAATTTGCTATCAACAATGTCAAATGGACAAGAACAAAAATAGACAATATATTTTAAATTGGTTCCATAACTTACTTGCGATCTCCTTCTACATCTGGAAGATCTTTTGTTATGGCAATAACCAGCGCAAACAATGTTACAAAAGTTGTGATAAATGCCACAGGTGCACTGCAGGCAGAATATGGATCAAAGACATTTTTAGTTCTCTCAAAAATTTTAAAACATGTGTTCATAAAGCTAAACTTCAAATTTACAAGGTAAGTGAAATTCCTAAATACAAAGTGAATTCTTAATGAATGATGTCTTCATGTACAAAAGTAGAGTGAAAATCTTAGGAGTCCTAATTAGATGGATGAATGTACAGGAAAGGGTCCACTGCATTCAATGATGGAAAAGAACTCAGAGGCACTTCATGGATAACCAGTTCAAAGGTAAAGAACTAATGGCCCGCACAACTAAGTTAGAAATACAACAAACGCAACCGATCAGTTTTCCTTTTTCATTTGTTTGTGGTCAAGGATCTACGTATTGAGTCAATTTGTTGATTCAAAATCATGATAGCTGAATAGCAGATTTTTTTCCCTTTTCCCTTTTCTCTTGTTTGTTTTCTCTCAGTAAGAGAATTTTCTCAATTATGATCACTAAACTGACTCCAAACCAAAAAAACAGAGGGAACATAGTTCTTCAATAACACTTCAAGTAAAACTGCATCATGCTGTTTCTCTGAAAACCTTGCGGCTGAAATCTGACTCAATAAAGTTTTATACCTAGCAGAGGGCTGTTTTGCCTTCAGTAAATTACTGGCCAAGTCAGAAGGTGAAGATTGATAGTAAGGCAGGCAATCTGTTTGAATATTGCGTAAAGACATATGAAGAATTACATAGCTTCATCATATGCACCAATATAGAGAAGCCAAATGCAATGAATGGTCACCCACCTCCACTGAAATGGAAGTCCAAGAGCAGCTCTTGTGGCGTAATACACCCCAAAATTGAGAAGGAACCCTCGTACCTGCAAATGTCAATTTCTTTTTTTTTTTTTTCTAATAAAGAGTCTTCTAGAAGCAAACATGACAAATGTTTTGAGTAGTTAATTATATTGCCAATTAATGAAAAAGGGTGTCATTTCCATATAGTTTGCAATAATTATTACAAAGCCAACAATTATTAAGATCAGAGACTAGTAAGCTGGTCCAGTGACTGATTGCACTTTTTTTTTTTGTTTTTCAAACAGTTCTGTAACCAAATCAATCAACATTTATGCTGCATTATATTCAATCAACTGATGTACCAGACACAAGGATATATGAGAAATATGATATTTAGTTCATCTACAATCCTCTTTGATGACTTCTGCAATGAGTTGGTTGATTTTTCACTATCCAGAAAATCCTTTTGTCCACACTTAACAAGTGATCACTTTAGATTTAGAATGCAAACAGACGACCCCTATTGTACTCTTGATAGTTCATTCCTACTTAAATAAGCAATATGTGCTTCACAAAAAAAAAAAAAATTTACCATGGCAATTATGAGAAATGCAGCGATAGGAAATCTTTTCATTCTAAATGGAGGAACAGAATAGATGGTGCCCAGGAAAAGACCAAGAGAGTAAAGGGAAGTGATGAATGGGCCAAAGTTGTATCCCACAATCAGAAGGCCAGTCACTGCAAAAAATATCACCAACAACCATGCAGATTGAACTGAGAGATCCCCTGCAGCTATGGGTAGGTAGGGTTTGTTTACCCTGCAAGTTGAAGAAAAAAAAAGGTTAACTGAAAATATTTTACATTCTCATCTCCTAAAGTTACTAGTAAATACTCAATAAGAAGAATATTGAAATCTCAGATTTTCTTTAAGAAGCTATGCACTTTTACAGTTTACCTGCATGATCTAGAATCCAAGATCAAAAACATTTTAATATAGTTCAAAATTTCAAAAAGAAAAATAACACAGTGAATAATAAAAATCTATCCATGTTAG